GGATCAAATCCCAATCTCATACCTTATGTTTTAAAAATTACAATGTCATATATTATCTTACGAATTTATTGTAATGTCATACCTCCATCAGTTTTGCTGTCAATTTCTCTATTAAATGGTGATATAGCTTGAGGTGGGATCCACTCCCTAACCCAACATGATTAAAAAATTAAAAATACAATTATTTAAATATTTTTATTTAAAAATATGGGACCCACCCCTACAAACCCCTTACCCTCACCTTCTTCCCTAGCTCACCGGTCTCCCCCCAATCTTCCTCCCTTCACCCCAAAACCAAAACCCATCTCCATCTCCCTCCCAACGACGCTCATCTTCCTTAGCAACCTTAGAACCAGGTGCTACTCCATCGCGACACCCTCTGGGCTCTCGACATGGGCCTTTTTATACGCATCCCGATTCCCAAAGTTCTCTACTTTCAAAATGATAGCTTTGAAATTGGTTTTTGATTTTGAAAAAAAAAAAAAAATTGGTTTCTGAATAAATGGGGTTTACCATTGATTGTTATAATATGCATTTCAATTTGGGGAATCTCAAGTGTGGATTTTTGCCCAAATTTTCTTGAACGAAATCAATTTTTCAGGTCCGAGATCCCGACCCGAATTCTGCCTCTTCTTGCCGTTGTCGAATTTTCTATTCTTCCTCTGCCCGTCCTTGCATTCCACAAGTCCTTGAAATACCCGAACCCCACAAACGGTTTCAGATTGCAGGCGAGGATTTTTGGGGTGGTGCTCAAGAAGGTCCTTGATGGAATTGATGTCAGCAAAAAATTGGTGTGCGACTGCTTGCTTGAGAAGAATGAGGGGTGCCCTTTTTTTTATTTTAACTTATGCTGGTTGATGATGACTCGGTGGCGGAGATGGAGGAGGATAGGGTGGTGGTGGGGAAGTGGGTTCTGGTTTTGGTGGTGAAGGAATGAAGGTTGGGGTAGAGGAGACAGGTGGGCTGGGGAAGAAGGTGAGGGAGATAGGTTTATAAGGGGAGGTCTCACTTTTTTTATTTATAAAAATATTTAAATAATTTTATTTTTAGTTTTTTAATATTTTAATCCAATTGGGTTAGGGAGTAGGCCTCAAGCCACATCAGCATTTAACATAGAAATTGACAACAAAAAAAAACTGACGGATGTATGACATTACAACAAATTCGTAAGATGAGATAAAAAATTGTAATTTTTAAAACATGAGGTATGAGATTGTGGTTCGACCTATAGTTAAGGTAATTTTTTTTAATTTACCCCCATAGATTTTACTTCTTTTTTGGGTAAATTACACTTTACCACCTCAGGTTTGGGGTCGATTTCAATTCCTTACAACATCTTTACAATATTTCAATTTCATACCTCAAGTACTATTTTATTTCAATATAATACATCTGTTACATTTTTTATCAATTGATTCGTTAAGAGCTGACGTGGCTGCTAAATTTATGCCACGTGGCAAAAAAATAATTTTTTAATTAAAAAAAAACTTAAAACGTAGAACCCCACCCCATCATGCCCCGCAACCCCTCCCCACCATTCTTCTCCCTCCCGAGCCTCCCAACCACCAAGCGCAAATTCCTCCACTCTACTTACGCCGTCCTCAACATGTGCGCCGCCCTCGGCGGTTGGATGCAAGTCACTGTGCAGCACGTGCCCGTCGGTAGCCTCATGGTCGACGTCAACCTAGTCCCCATCACCTCTGTTCGCGACGCCTTCTCCATCCAGCAGGACATCACCAAGCTCGAGTGCACGGCTAGGCTCAGAAAGCTGATAAAGGAGAATAGGTGTTCGGCTTTCGATTTGGTGCTTTATGATAGGTCGCCTAAAGTCGGTGGCGCATGGTCTTTGAGGCAACGACTTAGAACGCTTTGGTCATTGATGCGGTGAAGTTGGCAACTCAGCTTTTGGCTCCCAAAGGAACATTTATTACTAAAGTATGTGTTGAATTTACATATTCGCAATCGAGTTTTTGTGGGTTTGTGTTGGATTTTTTGTATTTTATGAGAAATGAGTTGTTTGTTTGCAGATGAGAGAAGGGAGAAAAAGGATGGGGGTGAAGAGGAGAAAGGACTCAGGGAAGGTGGGAGTGGGTTGGTTTTTGGATGGGAGGGGAGGTGAAGAGAGTGGAGGAGAAGAAGGTGGTTGGGAGGCTCGGGAGGGAGAATAGGGGTCAGGAGGGGTTGCGGGGAAGGTGGGGGTGGGTTTTGCATTTTCAGGTTTTTTTTTTTTTTTTTTGAGAATATTCAGATTTTTTTTTTAATTAAAAAAAAATTTGCCACATGACACACATTTCGATTCACATAAATGACAAAGAAAATCTACTTAAATTTGTGTTATGGTCAACACCTAATGATGACTTTTTAACTAGACAGCGTAGCCTAAAACTATCACTCACGGCGTTATCTTTTTATTATAAGAACAAATAAAGAAATGGGACACAGGTTTGTGAGGATCTGCTCACTTTTGGCTTTCAATTAGGTCCAGGTGCAGTCCATTAACTATTTCCCGCTAAAATTTCTAAAACTGAAACCCGTAAAAGAAAAGAGTAATGTTATTCATACCATGTTTTTATACCATATTTCTAAACTACTTTAGATGGCATCGTGGACAGTCACATTATTTGAAAAATTTGGAAAACCCAAGGAAATGAAGAAGAAAGACTCATCGTATACCACAATCATTATTTAATTAACAATTTTTTCTTAATTATTAATTTATTAAATAATGAACTAAATTAAAAAATATGATTAATTCAAACGATGTGATTGTCCATCTCAAATGCCATTGAAAATATGAAAAATATGATACAAAAATATGATATGAATAACATTACTCCATACAGTCACCTCTCTCTCTCCATCCTCAACCTCGGTCCATGTGCAGTCCTCCGATTTCTATCTGGCTCACTTCAACCTCTCCCTCAAGGAGGCAGACCTCTCTATAAAGTGGAAGCAGAAGCTCCACAATCACCACGCACCTTCAGTCAATCACGCTTCCCTCCCCCTCTCTGCCTGACAACCAAAGAACAACCAATTTCCTCTCCACAATCACCACTCACCTTCACCCTTGTCTCTCTCGGAGAATCAAAGAAAAACCAATTTCCAGGCATGCGCGTTTTGCGTATCCCGTTTTCTCAGTATTCTTCTCTCGACTTCTCACGTCTCTTATGTCCATCATATCCCCTCTCGTATTTCTCTCTCATCTCCCTGCTCAGATCATACTATGATCATACTATCCGTTTGAATCGCAGTATTCTCTGTCAGACAGACAAAGGTCTTCTCATATCTACGCCAATGCCTCCAGATATTATCATGGCGTCATTTTTGGTGTTCGTCACTTTGGTGGTGCTCGGATCTCTACTGTCATTTGTGTCCACGCCGTAGTTCTAACTCTGCGGCTCCCAGTCTCACTTATTTATCCCGTCGAGTTATAACAGGTTCAACTACGGATCGTGTAATACAGGCACGAGTATTCAAACACGTCGTCGATACCTGGGTAAATATATAGGCACATCGGATGCGGAAGGAGAACGATATGTTTACTCCTATCGACGACGTGTTTTGAATACTCGTGCGTGTCTTACTCGATCCAGTAGTTGAATCTGGTGTAACTCAATGGGATAAATAGGGGAGACTGCAGGCCCAGAGTTAGAACCACGGCATGGCCACAAATGACGGTCGAGATCCCCGAGCACCACCAAGGTGACCGGAAGCGATGCCATGATATTATATGGGGTTGTCAGCGTCGAAATTGATGTTTGGGGGAAATGTACTATCGATTCTATTTCCTAACTCGTTGTTTGGATATTGAGAAAATGTAAGAGAAATTAACGTTTACACTTGGTTTCTTGATGCTTTTTCTTTCGATGGAATGAGAGTGAAAATTTTGTATGTTAGATAATCAGCATAATATTAACTGTATGTTTGGTTGCTGAGAAAATGTTTGCAATGAAATTAACAATCCATGCTACATTTCGTGATGACTAGAAATTGCTGCCCGCGCATTGCTGCGGGATTAGAAATTGTATGGAAGATTGATAAGCTAATTCTAAATCATCAAGTTTGCAACTGCATTGCATGACAATCAATTGAAACGTTCTCTCTAAATTATTAAACAACATTTAGCATAAACTAACTTGCAAGTTCAAATGCATGAATGCAAGTGCAGATAAATTGTGAAATTCCATACACGTCATACTTCATTTAGGAAACTGAAAATCATAAAAAATAAATTGATAAACAGACAAAGATGGTTCACAATTATAAATGTTAAATGCTAATAAAACATATAATACAATGATCTCGGTTTCTCTCATAATTATAAAATGTTGAATGTAAACAGCATACCCAAATTACTTGTCAAACCAATAAAAATTTCCACTCCTTGGTTAATATCAGAGAATGCCAAATCCAAATCCATGAACCCCACACTGTGAACCGATTCCTTACCAAAGTTATAGCAAGTATTGTTATCCAATTCCAATAATGTTGTTATAGTACTCCTTGAAAATGCATGAGTTAGTATATCCATCTCTCTCTCTAAGAGTAATTGTTAATAGTAATTATAATAACAGACTAAAAGCACTGTCAACTATGTTATCAAGGAAAACAAATGTCAAAGAGAAATGAAGATAAATGACTTATTGGTGCACTCAAGAAATTGAGAATCATTAGGATAGCTTATGTTCAATACAACTATGCAAGAATAGCCATTCTTCAATATTTAAGCAGGATTGGAAACAGGGAAGTAGCGTATTAAAGCATTAAAATAAGGTTAGTTGGCCAAAAGTTGTTAATATCTTGTGTAATTAACCAGTTTGTCAATTATCTTATGAACATAAAGAAAGAGCAACATTTAACAAATCAAAAAATTTCTTGTCAATATTTTTTCTCTTTATATAAGAAGAGATGTCATGCAAATACAACCTTCACGATAAACCTTGAAAAATAGCCAATCTCCAAAATATAAAAACAAAACCTGACAATTTACACTCTTATAGTGAAGGCAATTTTCATAGCGTGGATTCCATTTTATAGAAGGCAAGCGTAAATGAATTAATTATGATAGAGATGGCATTGTAGATGTTGGAAGTCATGGAACCAAAAAGAATCGTGGCAGAGAAAAAAAGCACTATTTGTCATCAATTCAAGGTAATATAAAAAGAAACTGTACATGTGCAGTGGTTACAGGTACCAATCCTAGGTGATTAGCCAAATAGTGCCTCAAGTTGCTCTTTTGGGGAGCTCATGACTATGCCTTGACCCCTTTGTTTGCCCCTTTGTTGTCTAAAGTCCTGCTTTGGCTCTTTTCTTGGGGTCTGATCAAATAATTAAAAGTTGTAAATTAAAGCCTAATTAATTTATGTAAACAAAGTAAATCAAGTAGAGGGCAAAGAACAAAAATTAAGAATTGTAACTTACATTGAAGGCAGATTCAATAATGTCATCGCTGAAATGTTGAAGTATGACTTGGGATTTCCAAAACCAGCAGGGCAGAATTCCTGCATAAATTAAAGCAATGATATAAATTACCAACCCCAAATATTAAAACTAAAACAAAATTCAAGTTTTTTTCTGAAATTTTAATTGGATTTGTAGGTACTTAATTGCTCAAACAAATAAAAATATAAATTACCAAAACTAATATTGATGAAATGAAGTGATGATATTGGTTACCTCAAATCGTCCAGAACTGTTAACAGAACGGATGAGCTTTGCAATGTGAAGAGGTTCATCATTGTTATTGTTAATTAAGTAAATAGAAGCCCAGCAGGAACTCTAATCACATCTCTATGTTCCATGTTGAAGGAGTCCTTTCTATCTTTCATCATAAGCGTACAGGTAAATTGTCCTGAAATAGCAAAGCAACAAAAAAAATGAAGATACTAGAGTTTATGATAATATAAATTCATATAAGAAAAATGAGTGTTAACGAAGAAATTAAACCCTAATCTCAAAAGGGTCTCCTCCACAACTCAAAATCTCCACATTAAAATTTAAAATTTCAGTGCTTTCAAACAACCAACAAAAAAAGAAACCACCAAGAAACAACATTGATCCTTGCAACACAATTTTTTATATCCTCCAAGTATAATCTTTCATACAATATATATAAGCACATAATTTAACATTGCAACACAATCTTGCATGTCTTGTAGGGTAATTTTGATTTCATCAGTTGCTTTTGGGTACCCTTAAGACAAAAGTTAGTATACCTTGACGTACTTAGTAGCTCAAAGGCAAAGTGTATGCAAAGAGCAATAAACCAACATCCGCAGCATACCAAAAGCTGCCCAACAGAAAATAAAACAAATTCTGATAAAAAAAACACTCTGTTAACATCAGCATAGATAACAAATACGATAAAAGCTCTAAAAAATTTCAATCAAAAGTTTAAGACTTTAACTCAGAGATTCTCTGGGCAAAAAATATGTCCATGATTGCATTCTCATACAAAAGAATTCTTTAAATACTGATTTCATGCAATCCAATAGCTAAATGTTAAAATCAGAAAAATTTCTTTAACCCAGATTTTTAAAATTAAAATTATAAAAATTTGAACCAAAAAAAAAAAAAAGAGAACCCAAAACAAATATGTCAGAGAACTCACCAGGAAACCCGAGCTTTCATGGGTTTGAAATTTCTTCAAATCAGAACGACAACCAAGTTTTGCTGGGTATAAAATTTCTTCGAATCAAAACGGGATTCAGCTTGGATTTTCCCAAGAATTCATCAAATCAAACAACAACAAAAATAAGTGCAGCAAACATAGTGCAGAATTTGTCAAAAGCAACAGATCCAGCATTCATGCAAAGCAAATACGATCATGAATTGAAAAAAAAGGTGAGAGAGAAAGAGAGAGAGAGAGAGAGAAAGGAACCTTGAGTTTTCTGGCGGATTGTGAAGTCTGAAGAGAACCCAGATCTAACAATTGTGAAGTCTGAGAGAACCCATAATTTGAATACCGAAATCTTGCGATTTTTGGCAGATTTTTCCATCACTGATTTCAATAACCCCAAATCAATTTTTTTTTTAAAGTAAATAGATTTAAATTCGAAATTGGGCATAATAATTGAAAAACAAAACCAAAATTTCAAATTACTTGCCTTAAGTTGAGAGCATTTTACAAAATGACCTCTATGGAGACCCAACCTTCGAGCAGTTGCGGCCTGATGGTGGCGGTGCGAGAGAGAGAGTTTGAGAAGCTGCGATCTAATCTTTTGGATTTAGATGAGAGAGCAGAATAATGCAAAAGAGTCGAGAATAGGTACCTTCAAAGATGATGGACGCGTGGGCAGCGAGGGTAAAATCCTCTAAACAGAAACACTGCCGATGATCAACACGTGGAAAGCATGTACTGAAAAGGCAGAGCAAAACCCAAAAAAAAAAAAACCAGAGACGGAGGAATGAGAGATGGGCATCCAGCAAGGACAAAACGGACTTCGTATTGTAGCAAAGTGTGAACAGTACTGGAACCAAAGCAGAAACCAAGGGCAGTTCCGCCCTTTCACTGTTGGTGAACAATGCTCCTACTCACATGATGAACAGTAGAGAGGAACTGGGCCTTAGTAGATATAAATTTCGTTGTTTGCTTAGTAACCAATGCAAGGTTTTTCAAGATATAGTCTCGGAGTTGCATGCGCGTCTCCATAGATATTATGAATGTGTAATCTTATGTAGAGCAATACGCTAGAGCCTTTACATCTTCTGTAATCGAAAGCATTGGAACAAGAAGAAATGAGTGGCTTGATAGTATAGGTGTAGAGTGTTCAATTTCAATAATTGTTGACAAAGTGCTTGTACTTCTTTATTTGTTTCTTTTTATTGTCAAACTTGTGTTGAAATTTTGCATTGAAACGCACATGCGTGATTTGAACTGTTCTTGTTAACAAGTTTTCGTTGCTTCATGGTTGAATCACTTCTTCAAATTTACCGAGATCAATATGTTCATCAGGCAAAAGAGGATTTAGAGGCGTTTCTTGGCGAAGTGGCGGTAGATTTTGTATCCTGGTATCCTGACTATCAAACTCTCTTGATTAGCTGCAATTTTCTTCTTTACATGCTAACTCGGTTTGAATAGCGGATGCTAACCCCAGCGCACCGCCTATGTAAGTTATGAATCTTATAATCGACTATGCTGGTCAATCTTCTGAATACACTAGCTTATTTCATGTAGGTGAAGTTGCTGCTGTTAGTTCCCGAGAGAAAGAGAGATTGAGGGTAGGCCTTACGTAGATTGACTTGGTTGAGAGTACTAAACCTGATACTCAATCGTTCAAACTTTACCGTGTTCATTAGGCAGTGGCTGCATGTTAACAATGCTACATAATTGCTCTTATCTGCCTTCCGAGACCGAAGAAGGAACCAAGTTGGGAAAAATATTATAAATTAAATAGCTTGATAACATTGAGCTTGTCAGACTGTAGGAGTTTCTATTTCTGATCAGTTATTTCACAAGCTCTTTTTCACATATGTGCATCCCTCGTATTTCACACACACGCAAGGACTGTAGATTTGAGATTCACCTTTGCAGAGTGACAATCATATTCTAGAGACTTGAAATTTAGTATTGGCCTTTGTTTTTTAGCTTTTGACTTGTAAACTTTTCGTATAGGTTCCAAGGTCGGCAGGAGCAGCTTCTGCAGCATCAGCCCCAAACCAGAGTTCTGCAAAGACTTTCCACGCACATGTACCACATGGCAACAAAATGCTATCCCCAAAAGACCATGTTTTGTGAGCTCCAGTCTACAACGGCGTAGAGAGCCTAGCCCTGATCCATCAGAACCATCAGCAGCAGCCCTCAAACATCTTTCTGATTCAGACAACAAAGGGAATGCTTCATCAACAGAGCCCGGTGCAACTGCAGGCACTTAATTCTTAGCATCTGTCTTCTTCCTCTTGAAGATCATAGAAACTCCTTTAGGAAATATAGAATTTTCACAGTAGCATAGAATGAAGGTGCACCTGTGTTGGTTTGTAAAGAGTGGTTTGACAGTTTCACTACTGCAATTACCTCGTAGATTAAATTACGGATTATCAGATTGGTGATTTTTTATATGGGAATGTAAACTTTCATTCAACAAATTGACAGAATTTAACTGTAATTTCAAGTGCTCGTAGTACTTCAGGAAGTTGTTCTCGTCATCAATCGATTTATGTTTTGTGTGATCCCACTCGAAATTCTTTTTGTTGAAGTGCTGATGAAAATCAGTTGGCACAAACTTTTCTTTTCACGAATCAAGAACATCAATACGAATGAGAATGAAGAAGTTAATAGGCAATCCAAGATTAGTAATTTAAATCAATACATCTTAATTAGTATGTGTACATCTGTACAAAGAAATTACTAATAGAAATCTATAACTGTAAAATGTAGTTCCCTAGCATTACCCTATGAACTCACACTGCTGTAAGCGTAACACGAAACTGATTGGTCACTACGTTTTTCAGCCTACCGATAAAGCGAGTATGTTTGGTGCTGCAATGCTTGCTAACCTGGGGCTGAAAAAGTGAACTCAACATCTTCTCCAAGCTTTGTGTAGTGTACTTCACATACTTTCTAGCACTTGCATCTTGTTGCACCAAAATTCCATACTCCTGCATGTAACTGCTATAAACAGGTACAACTGCCTGCACCAAAAGTTGGCATACCTTCTGCCTCAAGCAATCGTCTGAAATGACCCAATTCGAGTGTTTCTTGTACCCTTCGTCGAAAGCCTCGTTGAATGCCTTGAGCCTTTTCTTATTGTCGTTGCCCTGGTGATAATCCATTGCTCCCCCAACAGGAGGCGAAATCCAACACTTTTGGGTTAGAAGAATCAGAAGCTTTCCCCAACTCTCTCTCAAGTAGAGAGTTGCATAGTAGTCCTTGTATTGCTCATGTGCTCCTAACCACGAATTTCCCATCAAGTCCCCAAGCTTTGTGCCCTTCAATTGGCTGAAATGGCAGTGATTGTTCATCATGAAAAAGTAGGAGAGGGAGATGTCTTCGTAGGTCTTTGACCACGCATCCAAATTTAGCCCGATTTCCTCCATCATGCTAAAAATTTGCTTCGAAAGAAGATCATCATCATCATCATGTATATCGGTTTTCCAGCTTTGATGGATCTGCAAGACCTGGATCAAGATTGCCCTGTAATTATCTCCTAGCAGTTGATTGCAGTAACTAGTTATAAAGGTTACTAGCCCAGGAATGCTACCATCCGAAGGAGGAGAAAACCACCTTTGCAACTCCACTTGATTAGGAAGTTCCCAGAAAATCTCACAAGCACCATTGACAACTCTCTTGATTAAATCCCTTGTGAGGTTTTGGATTTCAGCGCAGGCCTCCCCGCCAAAAAGCCGGTTAAAATTCAACCTTAGATTTTCCAGAACCGTGAATATATCTAAGAGCTTTAACAGCTTTAAGGGGCCCTTCTTGATCTTGGTGACACTCCTGCCAAATTGGAGGAAAGAAACAAGTCGAAACTCTTTAGTGAATCTTGCAATGCAGCGCTTCCAAGCGTCCAATCCTGTCTTCTCAAAGACATTGTTGCAGAGTTTGTACTCGAGCTCGAGAAAATGCTTCACAACCAACTCCAAATGCTCGCTCCATTGGTCAGAGTCGATGCTTTGCAAATCATCAAACTCTGAGACTTCTATCTCAAGGTAGTCGAGATCAAGAGCCTGCAAGCTTCTTCTAGCATTCAAACTCCGCGCGTCAGCGTACAACAATATGCACTTTTCAAGCCGATCAGCAGCATTCAGTCTCTCAACTATGGCTTGAAGCTTTTGAACTACCGGCACGAGTAATGGAGATGAAGCAATGCAGGTTGCAGCATTTTTCTCCATTAATAAACTTTCAAATTCCGTTTCCAGCTTATTGAATGCAGCATTGAGAACCCCTCCATCAAGGCGAGCGTAACCCTTGATTGCACGCAACACCCATAGTATTCTCACAGCTTTCTTCAAATTCAAGAAGCTTTGATCATTGGCAAATGTGTCGCCTTCCAGAAACTCAACAATGTCCTGCAGCCACTGAATGGCCAGCCCACAATTGCCAGCAAGAAACCTCAACGCTTCTTCAAGCCTTTTCATGACCGAAAGATAAGCGGGGAGATCAGAACATGATTTGAAAGAGAGCGAATTCTCAAGCTCCCGAACAACATCATACACTTTGAGAACAGCAGATGCAGTACCGATGGCACCATTTATTTGGTCCCTCATTGCAAAATATCCACACTTTTGCGTCGCAGCCGGCCTAATTGCAGCTTCCAAAGATGACAATCTCTGCTTCATGCCATCCAACCTTGATGAAGCTTCATCGATTTCCGAAGAAAGAGCCGTAGATTGCTCCATACTAGCCTTCAACAATTTCTGTGCAGCTTTAAGATTCTCAAAACTATCAACATCAGCCATTTTCCAAAGAAAAAGCACTTTCCAATCTCAGAATCCCAACCAATCTGACTCAACCAAAATTTGGGTTACATTTTTTATAGTGCACCAAAAGATTGCAGAAGAGTGCAGTAAAAAAATAGAGTCATGGTTTCTTCCACACCACTCAAAAAATAAAAATAAAAAATTCACTTTACACCAAACAGTACCAAATGAAAACAAAGAGAATTACCAGATTCAAACCAACCTTCAACCTGCAAGATAAACACCCCATAAGAACCCTCAACTACCATGCCATGAATTTCCTTTGTTTAACAAAAAAAATTAAAAAACATATAACATCATAAACACACAAAAATTAAGACTGCCTACTGAATCCTGTTGAACTTAAAAGTTGTTTGCCCATAAATTAACCTTCCAAGAAGTCTCTTAAATTTTGTTGGAACATCCAGTAATATAATAAGGATGGTTAAGGCGGTCAAGTTGGTTAAAGCAGTCTGCTCCAGTCCACACTCCGCACCCAAAGTTCGAATTCCCCGTAATTTAGATTAATTAGTGTAATTACCCAGCCGTTTGTTAAAAACAATAAGGGCAGATTCATGGAAAGTTTATTTATTTAGTTATTATTATCTTGTTTATGTGTACCTTGGAGTAAATCGCTTCTTTTGCGTAACGAGAATGCTGGTTTCTTGCTTTTAAGGTACCATAACAGACTGATTTGCTTGCTTTTAAGACATGATAAGTTGTTAACTTTAGAGATTGTGTGTGTGTGCACACTTTACCTTCATTCCACAAAGGGAAACTAAAAAGGTTGTTAACTTTTCCGGAAGGGGGGTGAATGTCGATTGATGCAAAAAAGTAAAGCAAAGCGACCCAGTAAACTTGAAGGTGAAATATGCAACGCAACGGGCAGAAAATACTGGCACAAATACTGTGGACTGATAGCAACAGCTAGTACGAAGTTAAAACACGAAACATTACATTTGACAATGGAAATGTGTAAGGTTGACATCACTACAACTTTACTTTGGATATGTCGTGGATAGCAACATGTCCTATCTATCCACTTGCTGCGAAAAACCAAAGGAACAAAGCTAAATGTAACATCCAAGGCAAGGGCATAAGAAATCAAACTATAACAAACTTGATCCTCGGGAAAAACATGACTGTAAGCGCAAGATGAAAAGATATAGGCTTATGGCTGCAAGCAGACTCGTACTCACAAGGTTGAGAAAGACAAAACAGCTGCAAAATTAGGGTTAATGTCCGATCAAGGGCCGCCTTTCTGTTTCAAGGTGATTTTGTCCCCCAGACTGAGGGCAATGCCTTGAGTCTTGCTTCTAATTCTGATGTATCCACTTAGCTTACCATCTGCTTGTTTCTCAACGCTCACATTAACCAAAGCATCCTCCCCGAAGACACTCTTTGCATACAGATTAGCAGCGAGGACTCCACACTCTCCTTCCAGTGCCGATCTAATGCCAGTAAGGGATGATCAGGAATTAATGAACCATCAATGATCCACCAAGAATGCGTAGGAAATCAAAAGGTATTCTTCCTACTCTTAAGATGCATGTGTAGGACACTTGTAACAACGACCAACATCGCACTAAAATAGACAACTACGCCAACTACTTGAATGATGGTTGTATAATTATATATGCACATATTAATGTTCCGCATGCCTGCATATGTCCATAGCTATGTATGATTCTGTGCATCTATTTAAGTAATCATTTCACATGTAACAGAGTAAACAACAAACAGAGTTACTAGTCTAAATCTTACAGTGGAGTCAGGCACTTCATGTTAGTCGCTTTTACAACGTGGTTCAGAAATTCCTTCTCGTCTTGAATAACAGTATTTACGGCAACCTGGGGAAACACGAATGTGTTAATGCATAGTAGAATCCAAATGCATCTATCAAGGAACAAAACCAAATAAGGACACATGATGCACATTGCCTTTTGATGTGAGAATGAAAAATAAATCCATGAGAACTATATAATCATAAAATGAGCAACACATTTATGAAAAAGATGATTCATGAGCTAGCAACCAATGACAATTCAGAAACACCATCTAAATTAACCCCCTTATGAGATAGGAAACATAAGCCAAATTTGATGTCCACCAGGGATTATATAACATGAAAGAAATTGATAAATTTGCATAATTTAAGGTACAACAACCACAAAACATAAAATTGAATATATATATATATACACACACATATACATAGGGGGTGCTATCCACACACCCCATTTTACTTCTCACACACCCCTTGATAATTTATGTCCGTTGATCTTCTTCAATTCATCCGATCCGACGGCCGAAAATTAAAAAGGTGTGTGAGAAGTAAAATGAGATGTGTGGATATCACACCCCGTATATATATCTACTAGAACTAGAAAAGTGATTTATGAGGCTTGACAACTCTCCTATAGAGAGTTTAACTCGGATCAATGCATGTAACTTAGCAAAATGAAAGAGTTGCCCACGATGCATCATATCTTTGCGGGTTGGAGACAATCCTACTACCATTAAAAAATAGGGAACTTTAACGAAAAGCTCCTGATACTGTTCACTTTAACGAAAAACCATATTTTTACACTAAAAAGTCAATCCTGGTACTATTCACTTTACCCTTTATTTTGTCCTTATCGTTAAAACTCAAAGTTTTCAATCTCTTTTCATTAGTTTTCCTTAAAAAATAAGGACAACTACAACAGTGCTAGCACATGGCAGTAATCATCACCAACATTTACCACCCATTGACAAACGATACAACAACCACCGCAAATATTATATACTTCACTAGTTCACAGTTACTACCATTGCATCATCATAATCAATATTCATAACCAGATGCATCAAACAATTAAATGTTAATAAAGCGGTTCATCATACGAATGCATGCCTTGTCTCAACATCAATATCCGTCCACATAAAATATCAAATGATTGTTTAAAGAAGTGATATCCTTTAGAGTCATTGTGAAGCCATTTCTTCAAGATGCACCAAATGATCATATCAATGAAGCACAGAAAATAATGCAAAAATGTATCAAAACCAGTGTACCTTATTCTCCCACTCAAACTCAGCCCACATTGCCCTAAATGCTACATCAGTGCATGATGCAGGAGATATGTAATCCATTATATCGATATGGATGTCATTGAGGACAATAACCGTTCTATCAAGCACATTTGAAGAACTCTCGTACACAATGTTACCAAATATAACTCCCGTTTCAGTTGAAGAGACCTTAATGTTTGCCTTTATCTGTTTGCTTGATTCCGGAGCTAGTGTATAGTTTTGCGGACGTTCAACAAGTTTGAGATCACCCATTGTGGCCAACTCCAAGCACAAATTCTGAAGGGTTTCCTTTGTTCGATTGATGACAGTAACATCAAGAACAATGTCATAATGATTAACTGTAACATAGGCTTCAGCATAAACAGGATCGCTGAAACCTGTGAGCTGAAGAATGCGGTTGAGCTTGTTTGCGTCATCATTATCCTTTGTGAACTCTCCAGTAGCACGTTTGAGATCATCTTGGACCTCATCTTCCAACTCAAGCTGGCTCATGCCCTGAAAAATATATGCATATAAGATAAACATTCAAAAGCATGTGATACAAACGATGGTTTTGGTGGTCGATCTGAACTACAGTTTATAGGTTGTTTGTACCACAACTTTATAAACTGCTAAATTACCATTAAATTGTTAAGAAAAATAATCTGCCTCAATATCTAAAGCAAGTCAGAACATGACCAAAAGTCTATCATAACAAACTGAAACGAAAGAAAAAAACCATAAAGACACAATATCAAACCCTTGATAGGATATTAACTTTACTGAATGGAAAAGACAAGAAGCATTAGTCTTCCTTACCCTTCTGCTCTTGAGATGGTAGAAATCAATAAGGTCATCAGGTTGTGCATTCAATATCTGGGCCTTAGCTTTACTTTCTTCTGTTTCCCGGAGCTGCTTATCTGCAAGCATTTTCACAAAGCTCTGTCTACATGACTCCAGCCATATCTTCCTTACTCCTTCACCTTTATGGCATAGTAATCGGATGCAAAGAACAATTCTATCTTGAGAATCGTTATCAATCGGATGTGGAAGGACTGAGGATTGTCCCAGTTGCAGCATAGATACCATGATCAACAATGCTTGTGTGGTTGCCTTGTTCACTTCAACCTTTGAAGGCTGAACCTCTTCCAATCTCAAAATAAGCTTCGTTAATGTGCAAGCCACAACTGACTCAAGGAAAAAATCACCCGAGAGAACCAATGACCTCAAGTTCCCCACAGAAGTCAGAGATCCTTGAACAAGGACAGGTGCAGACATCGCAGTTTCCAGAGCAGCAGACTGGGTGGCATAGGTCCCGTCTGCAAGGATCACAGGCCTCCTAGAAGACACAGTGCTCGAGCTTACCACCTGAGAGTTCTTTGAAGCATCTTGTGCCTCCTTTTCCTCAGAAGCAGTGTAGAATGGAAGCTCCCCAAGACACTGCTTAATGGTTGCAATCCCACTCTCAACCTCAGAAAGCGAGTGAGCATACTCGCCGATAATCCATAGAGCATGAGTACACACCCTGGAATTGCGGATCTGGTAGAAAGTATCCAGCAGCCTCATTATTATAGAAACACGCAGCTTGGGGTTGGTTTCAATGATCTCACGCACAAAAACAGCCACGTCCAGGGCTGAAGCCACATTCGAATCGCCCAAGAAATCCATCAAAGGGTGCACCACTGTGCTAGCCACCTCAGGAAACTTAACAGCACATGCGTATATTGCTTGCACCAACATCTGCCTATACTCCCCATTCTTCTCAAGTTCCCCACTCTGCGTCTTCACAACCTCCTTCTTCAACATCATCACAACCTCATCAACATTCGCGGGCGTAATCAAATCAAGCACGATGTCAAGAGTCTTCCTCCTAATATCTACATTCGGACTCGACAATGCCCTAAGCACATCCATAACCAACTCAATCACAATCTCCCTGTGCGATGCCTTAAGCTCACTAATCCTATCCAGCACAATCAACTTCACATTGTTATCACTCTGAGACAACAACAACTGACAGTACGTGTTGGCAGCTGCCCGAATTGCAGTGGGTGCCGAGGACAATGACACAAGGGTTCCGGCACACTCATAAACAACCGCACTCGACGGGGCATTAAGCAATGATATAATAACCTTAATGTACTTCCCCTTCTCACCTTTATTAACCCTACAGACCTTCTTAATCAATTCCAACACAACCATCTGTAACTGTTCCCCCCAATCAATAATCCTATCGATATGCTTAAACAAGTAATTCACAGCCCTATCCTGCGCACAATTAAACAGCATAAGGAAAGCATTTCGCTTACTCGAAGGGTCCTGCTCTGACGCCAAGAACCGATCTATGATCTCCGGCGCGCTGTCCAGCAACGTCTCCCCTTGCGGCAGGCGGTACACGGACATGATCGCCAGGACCGCATTCCGCCGCACGAACGGGTGGCGGTGCTCCAAATTGGCGAGAATCGAGGGGATCAGCGGCTCGATGATCTCGGACTCGTTCAAGCGGCAGAGAAACCGGAGCGTGACGCCGCGGATGTACTCGTTGGGGGACTGGAGGTTGTTGCGGAGGTTCTGGCAGATAAGGATCATCTCCGGCAGGACCTTCCCCTTGGAGTCGGTCTTGTCGATGATCTCGAGGTAGAGGAGGAGGAGCTTCTGGACGGTGTGGTCCTCGGAGGGGAGGACGTAGCGGATG